GGCGCACCCGGCTCAGGCTATCCCCATGCCGTATTGTCCGTTGAACGAAGTTCTAGTCGCTGCAACCTCGGAGCCACCATCAGAAGCGCCCTCAGAGGCATCCGAGCCGTCTGAGATATCATCGGAGCCGCCGCCGCCGCCCCCGCCCCCGCCGACACCGACACATGAGGGTGATGTCACGGAGATGCTGCTGTACCAGAAGGCGGCCCACCTGTGCTCGGTGCGCGCGGCGGCAGCCGGCGAGCGGGGCGACGCCCTGCCGGCCCTGCGCATGGCCTGGGCCGCTCTGCGGTGTGTGGCGGCGGCCGGCGGCAGCGGGGCAGTGCCCGAGGTGACTGCCGCCGCCTCGATCCTAGTCAGTGACGGCCTGCTGCTGCTGAGCCGGGCGCCAGCCGCCGACACTGAGGCCGCGCGTGCTGCCTGGTGGGAGCCCACCGAGCCGGTGGAGCGGAGTCTCCTTCAGCGACTGCGGGAGGCGGGCGCTGATACGCCGCCCGAGTTTGTGGGCAGACCGGCGCGGCCGCCCGGTGTGGCCGGAGACATGGACATGCTGGAGGACGCCGTCAGGACGATGGAGTCGGCCGCCACGCTCAAGGTGCGTGACGGGAAGGGCGGATGGTATTGAGAGGTCTTTTGTTGAATGCGCCGTGATGCGTGCACTTAGAAACTAGCGCTTGTCTCATACTCAGTAGGCTACTGTTCTAACAGTCATTTTCCGAGGTCACACCGTCACGTCTGGCAAACATGTGCTACGAAGTATGTGTTCTGAAAGGAAATCAGTCCATGGACAACTACTTGAAGGAATTGTTATCTTTATGAGATAAGTTAGTATTGCAATTGTATAATGATGTTTTTGTATTTGCTAATATCTTTGGCTGGTATAGATCGTCAAAGTAGTCTCGTACAATACGCTATAACGACCGGCATCTCTTCCCGTCCACAGCTGTCTCCAGAGATGCGACAGCACGTGCGCACGCGCCAGGGCCTGCTGCTGAACGAGATCGGCCTGCTCTACAGTCGGCGACTGGAGGATGTAATGAAGGCAGTGGACAGCGGGCCGGCCGCCTCGCTCCGAGCGCGCGCGGAGGCTCAGCGCAGACCCATGGAGCAGGGCTACAAACGAGCCGAGAGCGCCTTCTGCAGGGTGAGAATTGAGCAGGAGTTGGTGTTTGAACCCGGGTGGTTGAACTATTGCGTTTTGTAAAGAGTAAATAATGCGACTACATACATAGTGTATGAATGGGATGGAGATTGGCTTCATTTGATTCCTGCTGAGGTATGTCCATGACCGTGCACAGGCCCTCTAGACCTAATTATCTTCTTGACTTCATCTCTGACCGGTCTCGCCCCTCGGCAGGCTGTCAGTCTGCTGGAGGGCTCGCCGCAGCGGTGCGCCACGGAGATGAACCTGGGTCACCTGTACAACCGGGCGGCGGCGGCGCACCACCAGCTGTTCGCCGACGCGGCTGCCACCGTCTCGGACCTGGAGCGCACCGCCGCCTGCTACGGACGCGCCGCCGCCGCCGCCGCCGCGCCCGGCCGCTCCACGCGCTTTGCTGAACAGACAGCCGCCGTGGTGGGGTGTGCCGATTTCGCCGCACGCATGCGCCTCCTGCGGAGCGGCGTCGGGTACCGGCTGGCGCTGCTGCACGGCGATGTGGCGGCGGCCGGCGGCGCGCCCGGCTCGGCCGGACGGCAGCGCGCCGTCCAGGAGCTCTTCAGGAAGGCGCTGGCGCTCTGTGACCCTGCGCTTATGCCGGCGGGCGCCGAGCGCCGCCAGGTGTGCTTTCATGCGGCTGAGGTGATCGCTATGCACGCAGTCACACACGAGGAGACTGCCAGGTGAGGGACCGCTGGCTTCGGGACCGGGATGACGGGAGAGTATCTGATGTTGGTTTTATAGCTCACATTTGAATGTCTTTCATGTTTTTTTTTCTCGTCATGTTCTGTCTCGTCTCCTTGTGAATGGTTGTGCGGATCAGTTGGGTAGCTGGTAGCAAGGAAGTAGTAAAGAAGACCTATTAGTAGTTAAGTTTTCTGCCCCTTCATCACCGTAGTTTCCCTTAAATAACCATCGGTGTATGACACTGTTGAGGAGCCTATTTAACACCATATTTTCAGTACTGCTACGCGTCGTCCACCTGTCATAACCCCAACCCCAGTGTGCGTTACGCGATTTACTCCCGCTCATTCAGCCCCGCCCACCGCTCTCCGTCGGCAGGCTACCTACATCCGAGCGGCGTCGCGCTCAGCTGTACCGAGAGGCGCTGGACCTGTACGGCCAGTCGGCCCTCCGGTACCAGGAGGCCGGCCGGCCCGACCGTCTGCTGGCCATGCTACACGCCCAGACGGCCGTCAAAGAGCACCAGGCGGCCGGTCAGTGTGGGGTCGACACTCGACACGTACTGCCCGGGGCTATTCTTGGTGGCTATGGGGGATTTTGTTCATGATTGATTCGATTGGTATTTGGTAGTGACGTCGTTCGGCCATTATTTAGGTACAGGTGTGTTAATTGCATATAGGTGATTTGCATTATCATCATTTCTCAGCGATCCCCAGCTATTGATATTTGCTTAGTGCTCCCCGTCTTGTCTACATTTCTTCAGCAGCGAGTCACGGTTTGAAATGGATAAATCGCAGTCGCCCCTGTCTCTTAGCTCTTCCGCCAATGAGGAGCGATTAATTGAACCGCATGATTCTTTCCTCCCCCAGCGATGAGCCACTGGTTTAGCCGCGTGAAGCTGGTCGAGGAGGCTATGACGGCCGTGGCCTCCCCGTCCTCTCCGCTGGCGCCTCTGCTGGTGGCAGGGGAGGCGTCCCTCACCGACCCCCAGGACCCAGAGCTGGCCGAACGCGTACAGAAGGGCGCGCAGTGTCTGTTTGAGAGCCTGCTGAACGCACTGAAGACGGTCTGCCTTCTGCTGAGGAAATATGGAGGCAATAAGAAAAAGTGAGTTCGGGAGGTAGAAAAAGATAAATGAATTGAAAGAAAATGACGCGAAGAATCAGAGTGGTGTCAGTGGATACGGTATGAGAGAATATAGAGGATGCAATGACCTTAGGTAAATAATTGGACATTGCTCAAAATATTTGCAAGCAATTCGACTCGAAGCTGTTGAAGTAATGCTTCGTTTTGGACCTACTTCAATTTTTATTGATGCTGCTATAGCGTACGCTGCATTAATATCTGATTACCCTTGTTTCTGACTGCGCTTCTGTCAATATCGTCGAGCCAGCTGACAGCCCCCCCCCCTCCCTTTCCGCTCCCTCCTCACAGACAAACACCGGCGTACTTTGAGGAGCTGTACCGCCAGTGCCTGGCCGCCTCGCTACGCTCCGGCACTGGCTTCAGCAGGCTCTCCAGCCTGGTGCAGCTGGTGCGGAAGGCACAGAAGCCCGGCTCGTGACCGGGGGTGGAACCGCAGGAGCACGGGTGAGCGGAAAGGGAGTTCTCTCAGAGCAGAGATGGGGGGGGGGGGAGGGTGGTGTGGGCCGTGGGGTTTGTCAGTTTTGTGGCCTGGGACTGAGTTATAGTATTTCCTTGCGTTATGAACGTTTCCGCAGTAATTCTGTCATGTCCACTCGTTTCGTTACCGTAGTGAATGTGATCGTAATTTATATAAATCACGTCGATGTCGGCCATTAAGTTGAATTTGGCTGCGTATTGTGGACCCTGCTTAGCGTGGGCTTGGGCCTTCTCATTCCGTTCAAATAAACATACCGAGCTAAATTTATATATTCAAAAGCATTAGCTGCAATATTGCACCGATTTGACGGTTTTGTATTTTGGCCATATTTCAGATGAGCTGCTCTGATCTTCACCGGTCGTGCTGTGGCACGAAGATCAATTGTACGGGTAGTACAGTCTGCAAGCAACGTCATGATATATCGTCATCTAACAAACGCTCTTTCACTTACTCGGTAATGTTGTGTGGTTTGTGTGGGGCTGTAATTTAATCGAGTGCGGCTGTTCAATGGCTGTTACCGGCGTGGATAGTCCTTTTGGGGGCGGATTCCACGATAATGTCTGTTTAACTTCGTGTTTTTTGTCGTCCCGTGGACGGTTTATCTATAATCCGTGCGAACAGCCGAGAAAAGGTTTGGTAAATGCTAGTGTTCATCGCCATTTTTGTGTTGCCATAACGGATGCAAAGCGTTTTGGATTTTGAACTATTTCCAACATTTTCTCAGCTAGGAAGACAGCTGTCCTCATTATACGTCAGTATTCAATGTGCGCGTGTCATGCCTGTAGGGCGTTCACTTGCACTCTTGGTGTCTTCGTTGTTTGCGGACTAGAGTGTGCGGATCGATGCCGCCAACATATTAAGCCAGTGAACAGTAAGTTCAACTTGTAACCTAACCAGGTTCAACTATGAAGTCCAGCTGTGAGTGTGCAGTGTTTTATATCGGTCTTATTTTGGTAACCCGTTAGTGTCTTTATAATAAACTGGACACGATATCAATTTTTTTATTCGTCGCTCATGCGGCGATAGCTGAGTACTATTGGTATGTGCAAGCGATTTTGCGATATTTATACCGCACATCCGAGCTCTGAACGCCAAAGCACTTGAAGCACTCAGACAGAAAAGAAAACTTAAGACGCATGCGTTACCGCGGTTTCCCCACAGACTTCCTACACTCTACGGCAGGTTGAGTAGGTACTCGTGCCCGAAATTTAGGCATACTCCTGCCTTTTTCTACCCCCCCCCCCCCTACACTCACACACACACCATTATGTCATAGTGTTGTAGGCCCCCTCGGCCCTCACCAGGGTTAAGGTCCTGAACTCTGTGCATCCTTACTACCGACAGACGAAAAAAAAAACTCACTCCGCTCAGGCTCGGTGTTATCAAAACTCGATGGCTGCAGTAACACGCTGTTATAAACTGCATGGCGGCACCAGGCTTTGACATACCATACGAAATTGCAACAGCGCGACTGAACACTAGACAATGTAAAACTGATCGCCTGAGTCACTTATTGCTTTCCAAAACTCTGGCGGTAATGGAATGAATGTATTTGGCAATCCAATATCCATGCCAGACTGCTATCAACGCTATATGTATAACTTCAGCGTTGAAATTATGGACCGGTCTCCACATATGACATTATACAACTTGTAAATAATCTGACCACTGCGTGTACACCTAACTTCAATACAATATAACATATAAAGCTACGATAGCGAGCCAGCACTCGCATCCCCCATGAAACAGTGCAGCAACGGTCGGACTTTGAGGGCAACATAACTTAGCACTTCGTAACGTCTGGCTTCATTTAGCATCGGCCATCGAAATAACACTACCTTACTGAACTGACTGCACACACATGTCGTTAAAACATTGATTACAGCAAACGGCGGCCCATGATTAAGTCCTGCAGATGACATCCTTTGTTGCAAAGTAATCGAAAATCATATGCCGCTGCAAACTCTTCCATAACCCACTCAATTACGCGTCTTGCAATCACTCAATCGCACTCATTCGGTAACACTGAAACACTCAATAGGTACACTTAGGTCTTGCATTCAGTGATAAGATTCCTGTCATACACGGGGTGCACCACACCCCCTCCAAAATTCCATCACAGACGCACCACGTGGTTCCTCGTCATCAAGGTAAGGCTTCTTCCCATTTTCCAACTTCCTTCCAAATGTATCACAAGCTTGTCAGCATCAAAAAACGCCCTGAAGTGACCTTCCGGTCTTCACATGCGTCCGTTTTGTTTGACTCGCGACATTTGCATACGTTTGCAGCACGAATTTGCCGTTACAGACCGGGCTGGTGAAATAAGGCAGATAGCCGTTGCGCAGGTCTCTTTCGAGCGACGGGAGACGGTGACGGTATCAGATTCGAGGTGACATTGTGGGCTGCGGGGAACTTCTCACGCCTCCCGCCTGAAGCATTCTCGTCACACTCAAGGAATTCCACTGTACTTCTTTAACGACGTAACGACTTCTTTGGCGTCGCCATCACCTTGCCCACGGTACCGTTCCCACCAGTCCGCCTGCTAACCAGCGTAAGCCCAGACTGGGACATATGCACTGTGCCGTGTGCACCACGGGAAAATAGGCAACCCTGGAGTACGGAGCACCAAGCTCAGTCCGATGAGAAATCCTCCAGGGTGGGCTCCCTGGTGAAGCACATCATCTGTAGCCGCATGTTGGACCGGAACTTCTTCAGCAGGTCCTCCACCAGTCTGCAAGAGCAACAGCGGATAAGCGAGAATGTAATGAAGTAGGTAGGTTGCATTATGCTAATGCAAAAGGATTCTAGTTTGCATATTTAGGTAATTACTTCCGTTCATATGGAATTTCCACGAAAAGTTCCCTAAATATTCCGTGCGAAAGTCGTCAAAATAAAACCTGCCAGCCGTATTTCATTGGCAGCTGGGCGCTGGCCACACATTGTTGCACGTAAAACGCTACGCATAACTGTCCTTCACGAACTGGCTGACAATGACGGTGCAATGGCGTCACGGCACTGTCAGGTTAATACCTAGCTAGCGGGGATCTCTATGGACGCCAGGAAGCGAGACTGGGTCGCCGCTCTTACCGTTTGTCTCCGGCGGGGTCCTGGTGGTTGGGCAGGGACTCCGAGGCTTCAACAAACGACACCCTGGGGATAGCAGGAGCCAGTCAGAAAGGCGCATCGGTACAACTTTCATTCAAATGTAGTTTCAACACACATCATAACACGCAGGATACAGGATGATGTGCGAACACATCATGTCGCCCCTGAAATGTGTATCTGTCCGCCGCGAGTCTCTCTTCGTAAAGTCTCTAACCACTGTGCCAATCATGCAATATAAAGGTACAGCATCCCTTTGTTCTTTCTTTCCCACTCCCTCTCCTCTTCTACCCACCGTGCCGACTCTGTAATATAGAGCTGCAGCAGCGTCTCGCCTCCCTCCCTCTCTCCCAATCCCTCCCTCCACCCACCGTGCCGACTCTGTAATATAGAGCTGCAGGGTCTCCTGCAGGGCGGCCAGGTCGAGCCGGGCCTGCTGGCCGCCGGCCGGGGTCATCCGCGCCACGGAGGTCATCAGCCGACTGAGCTCCTCGGCCACGCCCTCGACTAGGTTACAGAGCACGCGACGCACCAGCAGTGGGGAGACGTAGTATACCTGGTGGAGGGGGGGGGGGGGGGCGGTCATAAACAGATGCCACAGTGCACACACTTTTGACAACAACAAAAACGAACAAACAAACTCGGGGGGGTAGGTACCACGATAAGCAGTGACGTCAAGGTCAGATGACTCTTCTGGGTCAGATGTTATAAAAGTTTTAACTACTGGAACTATATAAAGTATATAACTACAGAAAATAAAGCCAATGTAGCAAGCTCCATCTGAAGCGATATTATTTACGTAACAGAAAGCGAAAGAATTGTGACAGTGTGGTTAAAAGCAGCATTCATGACATTGGCAACCCCGCTATTCTCAGCGCGCTCCCTGACCGCATTCAACAGGCATCCACCCCAGGCACCGCCAACCAGCGGCGACTGCCCACCTCGGCGTGGACGCCGATGCAGTTCATGATGACCTCCTTGACGTATCCGCGCACATCCGTGGGCGGCTGGAGCACAGCCGACCAATCGAACTTGCCCTGGTACATGGACATCTCGATTATACCTGAGGGTCGGTTGATAGTTTCATTACCCTTGCGTCACATGGCGCAGCGTACATTAGGACGTTTTACCGAAAACGTTAATCGTTGTAGCGCGGCATCACCGTGTATGAGGTTGGTGTAAGCAAAATGCAGTGAAATGCCAGTTCGATATCACCAATCAGAACCACATTATTACGCTCAAAAAGCGATAAAACTTCTGCCAAGCATTCTGACCAATTCCGGTTTGTATTCGTGTTATCAAAATATCCGATAAGAGCGAATAATTGACTACCTCATCCACAACCATATGCTACCACAGTGGTGGCAATACGTTTCCCCAGCGACACTGCAGTGTGCGCGTCACCTACCCAGTATGGGGTCGGCCTTTTCCTCCATGTAGGCCTCGAACAGCTTCTGCTCTAGGTCCGAGAGCACGTCGGTCACCTTCTGCAGACCCTGGCGCACCTCCGACGCCGGAAACCTGACACACAGAAACATACATACAGATTCGTCACCTTCTGCAGACCCTGGCGCACCTCCGACGCCGGAAACCTGCCAGACACAGACATACATACAGTCATCTTCTGCAGACCCTGACGCACCTCCGACGCCGGAAACCTGAGACACAGACATACATACAGTCATCTTCTGCAGACCCTGGCGCACCTCCGACGCCGGAAACCTGCCAGAGACGGATATATAAAAGCATGTTAGATCATAAATTGTCGACGGACAGGTGATTTGTTTTTAGGTTTGCTCGCCGACAGCCAATTTCGATTAGCATGGCCCCGTAATTTAACCCTCTAGTGCCCCCGGTATCATATCTGTAAGTCAATTTGCAGAAAATTCGCCCGCTAATCATAGAGGTGAAAATTGTTGAAAACCCTGCTGTATCAGAAGTGGTACGTCTTGGCAACCACCTGGTGGCAAAATTTTTAAGTAATGATTTCTCAGTTTCCCACCAGGTGATTTTGAAGAGGGTCAGTTTGTCCTTTGCCGAAAATCAATTTGAGATGCAAGTGTAAATTTAAGCATTTTGAAAACAAAAAATTAGTTATTTGGAAAGAAACTTGGTATGCCGTGAGACAAATGTTCAACATATATCATAGTATGTTGCAAAACATCGCAACTTTTTCAGGGTCAAAGATATGGACCCCTATTTTTTGGGGATACTAGATATGATACAGTGGGCATAGCACTCCAATATTTTCTATGAAATTTTCGCCGCTGCAACATACGGTGTGCCAATACCAAAGTTTTCTAAGGTGATAAGCATTGCAATGGCCTGTGAGTCATTGCAAATGACGATGGTACAAGATGCATAAATTTGTGAAGTTCGCACCTCTTGCGCCAGATAACTCTATTTCGCTCCAAACTTAAAATGTCATAACGATAATGGTACGCTTATGCCGCCTCTCATCCTTGTCAATCTTCCAGCATCTAGCTTTCTATGAGTGGCCTTACATGCCTCATACATCTCGACTTTTCTAACGCTCATAGGAATATGGTTTTGCAACTGTTTGACGATGACAATAGTGAACTTTTTGATTTGCAGGACACTAGCAGACCATATCTTCTAAAACCACGTTAGGAATGACATGCTATCGATGACAAGCTTGTTGATTTCAAGGAACGATCATCCGTGCGAGCATTTATACTCGTGAAACCAAAAATTGAGACTTGATGTTAGGGACAGGAGGATTCAGCGGTCTCTTGCACAATTTCGATATTCCAACAGGGGTTGTGGACGGGCTTATTTATGTCTTGTGGGTCTATGTGTTAGCTGGGCATGGCTGAAGACTTGCATTAGCAGCCAGCCAGCATTTTTCATTCATATTGGAGAACGACTCACAATTTGTTTGCGATTCAAATCTCCTCCGTTCATCCCAGTAGTAAGAGATTGAATGTGGAGTGGAAAACTATATCGTCATCTTCAGAGGAAGCTGGCTAAACGGGCTCGCCATGAAGACAGGCTCCGGACCGAAGGCCGTGGTTCCTTTGCTTTCCTATCTAAGAAGTAGGCAACCATGCACTGCTGCCAGGCTCCAGCAGGTGCCTGACACCTGGCAAGCATTTTCACTGCCAGGTATGTCATTTGTTGTCATATATTGACATATACCGCCAATTGTGGTAGCTGAGTGCCACTGAACAAAAAGGATTTATAGGTACTAAAACATGGATACTATTTTTGTACTGACCACAAGAATAAAAGTTAAAGTACGGCATTGCGTAATGCGTATGCTCACCTCCATATGAGGTCAATGAATATTGTGCAAGTTCCTGCCGATCGGTGCACAGTTACCTATACCTTTGTTGTCTGACACGTACAACGGTTATTGCACTGGTCAGTGCGCGGCTGTTATACTGGCGCCGATGACATCAGGACCGCACGACCAGTCAAAGTACTAACTGCCGATTCACAGGCTGAGAGTTTCAGTCACCCGAGATTGTCCAGCTATCATGAAGATAAACCAACATCGTCTTTGGCATTGATTCCGGTCCGTCGGCAGGCTGTCCAGAATTTTGCATTAGAACTGCTTCACTTCAACCACTTACCGCGAGCCAACTGTAATGTCTTCATTTCTATATCAAGTACCTATGCATAACGCATCTACGTTTGAGAAGCACGGCCCACATTTCTGAATTATGAAAAAATTGCACAAGTGCAACGCGCTGTATCGTGGAAATTGAAGGAATAGAAGGCACTCGTAAATAGATGCCTATGATTAGCGTTGTTCCCTAAGCACCGACTGAAAGGACATTTTGATACAAGAAGGATGCCGATGAAATATTAAGAAAATGTTCTGATAAAAAGTGCACAGTAAAGGATGTCTTGTTGGCATTTTACACATTTTAACTGCCACTTTTATCACTGCAATTTTTAATAATATATATTTTCTCATCTATGTCTTCACTTCCTTCTGTGTGGTCTGATACCACTAAAAATTACCAAGTGGAATGCCCAATGTATCATATTTGATACAAAATTTATTTCCGAAATTTGAACTGCGAAAAAATATTTGACTCCAGATTTCGAACAAGGGACCCAAAATGAATCATATGTCACAAGGTACTAATTTTAGGAACCGTGGAACTATGTGTGGGCATTAGAGGGTTAAAATAGTACTATGCCTAAAATTGCACTCAGCAGTTCGCAAAACATAAAACATGTGCTTGTGCTATTGTCAACAAAAGTGAGGATATTCTGAATAAGTAGTCAATATCCAAGCCACGAAAGCGTAGTGGCCCGTCGGCTCCTCAACATCAGCTCACCCCTCACACTCGTGCGCGCAGCCCGCCACTCGCCATTGCCACCTATGCGACTCCAACCTATCTACCCCGTTGGCCCTCACATCACCCCGCTCCTCACCCGTGTGACGTAAACACCCTCTCCAGCTGGGGTGCTCGGCTCACACGGAGCACATGACAGTTGGAGAGCACCAGCAGCAGGCGGTGCTCCACACTGGGCGACTCACGCGCCGCGCCGCCCGGCTCCTCAGAGTCCTCGCCATCCTCCGACTCTGTGTCCTCAAACGCCAGACGCTCCAGCACCTGGCGGAAACAGCGGGAGGAGGAGGAGGACGGATAACGGTGCGTCAAACGATTATCTTCCAGGCTCGCAAAACGCTAACAAAACGATGATGAAACTCCACTAAGACATCGACTGGCACTCAACTACCAGCACCACCCAGGTTGACGTTTGACAGCAACACGGACTAACTGAGAAATAGCACCTAAACGCGCACTCTTACAAATCCAATTAGACTTTTTCCCTATCGTAATCGTTCTCTTCCCATCTCTCATCTCACCATCCGTACGTCCACTCCCTTATCTTCACCCACCTGAGCAAACGTGGCCACCAGGTTGTAGACCAGCACCACCACATCCTTCCGCACGGTATCGTTCTCCATGAGGGCGCTCTCCTGCGGACCTCCCGTCAGTACCTGTTCCTCCGCTTGCCCCACCACATCGGTTACCACCGACACAAACTGTGTCAGCAGTCGCGTGTAGCCGTATCCACTGGCGTCCAGGGTGGGCTCCAGGGCCCAGGCGTCGCGACCCACCAGCTGACGAACTGATTCCATGGTGCGACGGAACATGGTCATCAGACAGTGCTTCCTGTGGGTGGGAGAGTGGGGGAGGGGTGGGTTAGCAGGGGTTGGGTTAGGTAGGTCGGCAGACTTGGGTGATTTATGATGTAGGTATACTCGAGCGTTTTGGCTGAATTATACATCCATGAACTGGAAAACTATCAGCATGATAAAAAAACGGTTCATTATTTTCAATGGCGTAGTAAGTGCTTGTTTAGACAAAATAAGCAGTAGTTAGTAGTTACACATAAATATTAGCCCAAACAATAGCCGAACCATCACACCACTCACTACTTGACGACTCCTTTCAAGATCTCTATCTTGCCACGACCCCACATCACCATCCGTCACACCCAACCAACCGTTTTACCCACCTGAGGTCAAACACCAGCTGGCTGACCTCGTCCAGCGCGTCAGCGGAGACTCCGAGCGTCTGTAGACTGCCATATGTGGCGGTCACCTCCCTGAGACAGGCCTGTAGCCACACGGGCTCCCGCAGAGAGTCCGACCAGGCGTACTCGGGAGAGTCGGCCGTGTGGGGTAGGAGGGCGCCGCGCACCAACGCGCACCACAGCTCCACCACACCGCTCACCAGCCGCTGTCGGTGAGAAAAACGAAGGTGAGAGGTGAGAAATACAACCGAATTGTGAGAAATACGGCGGAGAGATAAGATATACCTCGAGGCGAGGTATGGGAAAGAAATACACACTGCGATGTGAAACATCAGCGAGAAACACGGCAGTGAAGTGATGAAACACGGCAATGACGTGGTGGTAGACCTTAGGCGACATAGGCGAGAAACCACACTGTGAAGTGAGATACAATGATGGGCGAGATATATTGAGATGAGGAATGGGAACGTCAGACGCATAAGGATATGAGGACAGTGCGAGAAACATCACAGCGAAGTGGTGACACACGACGGTAAGAAATACCAGCTGATCTGTGATCGGGGGAGTGGTAAGAAGAGGAGGTGATAAGCGAAATATGTAGACTGGGAGACGACGTAAGGGAGACCGAAAACTCATGCCGGTGCGCCACTTTACCTTGAAGTCGGGTTTTCTGGCGGTATCGGGAGCGGTGTGGAGCTCCCCCTGGAAGTAGCACTGACCCAGTTTGAACAGACCAGGAAACTTGCCCGTCATCCGATCGGCCACGTCCTCGATAAACAGAACGATTGGTGGCGCTGAAGTCTGTGGGGAGAGGGAGTAACAGCGGTCGGGGGTTGGTCTTAGATACGCCGGGGAGGTGCCAGTGGTGCCACGATGCGCAAACAGTCATACAAATACGGTGCATTTACGCAAAATAAAAACATCAACTTACGTTCAGTGAAGCGACACAGATAAGCAAAACTGGGCCCAGGAAAACAACCATCAAATATGAGTGAATGGAACCAACACGAAACGTTTATCTCTAGCTCACGCTTAGCTGCCAATAGAAACATCAAATATTTATTTTCAGCAGGAAGCATTTAAATAGCTGAACTCGAAGAAAGTTACATCAGCTGGCCTACCCTCATCAGTCGACACTCGACAGTCATCAACCCTCCACCAACTCAACCCTCCGTCTCCCCTGATGGCCACACTTACCTGTCCATCAACAGCGCCGCCGGCGGCCGTGACTCCCGCGTACTGCTGGCGACACGAGGTCAGCACCTTCCGGATGAAGGCATGCTCCGAGAGGATACACTCCCAGCCGACGTCGCCAGTGGTGTCCAGGCTCACCAGGTACCTGAGGGACGGCGGGAGACAGGGGCGATTGTGGTGAGGTGATTTTTAAGGGCAAATGATGTGAAAGACAGGTTTAAGGAAAGACACCGGGCATATACTTTATAAAAGGCTACGTCCTTCGGAGTAAATATTATGGCAGAAATGCGACTAAAAACAAAGGTACTTAAATAGCACACTTACAGTAAACAAAGATGATGGTGAAAGGACGTGATAGCTTGATGGACACAGTCGTAGCCTATATTGAGGTCAATAACAATATAACAAGTGCGGTTTCACGCCGTTCGAGGAACATATCACTCCACAAGTAACACCTAAAAGAAAGTTCACTGCACTCATGGGTGCATTTATCGATTTCAGCTTACCGAATGATCTGCCGCTGTTCTTCGAACGAGCCGTTGACTTCCTTCAGTTTGGCCTTGAGGATGTCCCGCAGGTTGGCTATCTTAGTCTCCACCACCGCCATCACCTGTTTGAACACCTGCGGACAGCGACGGGAGGCGAGGATCAGCAAAATAGCACAGCAGGAACCACTGCAGAGCACGACACGAGCCATGTAGAGCACATGGAGGTAGGTAAGGAGCACGGTACGAGTAACAGCGGAATATCACACATGCCCAAGGGAACATTGCAAAGGCACAGCCCTCACCCACCCCATGATGGGATTCCCTTCCCAGCCCCACACTCTCTCACCAACACTCTTCTCACACCCCAACACTTCCCCTTCCCCATCACCTACCTGGACCTCAGAATCGGCAAACAGTCCTCGCGCCTTGGCGTAGTCGTTAATGATAACGTCAAACTCTCGCCGGCGCATGTTACGCTCGATGTTGACGGGAAGGTAGAAGAGGAAGCGGTAGCGCTGAAGCACCGCCAGCGCCGAGCGAGTCGAGTCTGCGCGGTCCTTGCGCCGCAGAACGTCTTGGAAGAGCTTGTCGGCTTCCGCCTTGCTGGCTGCACGGCAGGCGGAACGGTTGGTGTGAGCATGACTGGGCGTGTGACGCATATCGTGGGTACGAATGGCAGAGAAGCACTTGACTAGACCCTGGACAGTGGACAACCATCCATAATAAACTTAAAACAAAATGTTGTTGAAAAAAAAAACTAAAAAAACAATACAAACTCAACCAGATATGGTTCTGTTCTGTGTCACCTTAACGACTAAATGGCGCCCATCCACCCAAAACACCAAGTTTTTACTAGTGAACACAATAATCGCCACGTCGCCAGATACACATATAATATAAACTAATGCCCCCTACCACCTCCCCCCCCCCCCACTCGTTCACCTACCGTTGATGGCCTGGTCCATGGTAACCATGGGGTCGTGTGACGAGGTGTGTTTCTTAAACAGCTGTCGCATCTCCGACAGGGCGTCCAGCTGGTCAATCACGAGGCCGGCGTGATCCTGGAACAGGTCAAGGCGGTCAGCAGGCTCGACAACACCAACAGAGGCGCTCGGAACGGGATATTTTGGCGAATCAGCAGCGGGGAATGCTGTTGTCGAAGAAAGAATGCATATTGATAAGGGTTAGGTAATCAGTACTGGATCCGTATAACAAGGTGTTAATAAGCAATGCTCGGTTACACAAATGCTTTTACTAGAGCCAAGATCGTCTGCCCTTGAACGCTAATAAAAGACACTTTCTCACAACTTAAACATTATTTCAATTAAACTCCATCCTAAACACATTTGGGCTGGTATATTGCACCATCAGCCTGATAACACAAAATAAGCAAAAGTCACCGACCCCTAACGCTACGATCTATGATCTCGTCCAAACGGTGTGCGCCCAGTCCCACCTTGAGAAACGTGAGCTGTCCCTCCTTCTCTGCGTTGACCTTCCTCCTGAGAAAGCTGAGTCCGGCGCGCAGGTCATCGTAGCCACTCTGATGGTGGTTCTCCAGTAGGAACCAGGCCGGGTGGAACTGTTCCGAAAACAGGCTGCCCGACCTTCCGGGGAACATCTCTTCCAGCTCGTCCTCCGGGTAACGCACCCTGCAAATCCGGGGAACGGGGTAAGGGGTGAGAAGCGCTGAATTCTGACAGTGGGGAGGATTAAAAGATACAATGTCACGATGAGGAGGAGGGGTCAGAATGTAGGCATATCGCATCACTGCGACATGGATAATTGCCCAGCTAGCTGCGTGTGTGTCGCGTCCACCGCCAACGAACCGTAGCAAACATTGCCTACACAAACAAACAACATATGCTACACATATGCTACAGTGACAGGCAAAGTATAGGGATGGACTTGCGCTTCGAAGAGAGTACGCTCGCACGTCCATCCCCACTCACTCGTAGCCCTCCATCGAGATGCCGAGTACATCCTCCTGGCCGAGGTTGTGGGTGGAGACGAGCTCCTGAAGGATCTCCTCGCGCTCCTGGCCAAAGTCGCGCAGCCACACGGACGACTCTTTTAGGTGGCCGACCACCTGGTCAACACCTGAGGGCAGATGTGTCAGGTACAAGGGTCAATGAAAGGTGTCTGGTAGCGTGACTTGATCCGCCGTTCGGTAACACGAGACACTGACAAAACAAATTATACAGGCTGATTATTCAATGAGGCTGAAGCAGCAGAAGAATAGGGATCTAGACATCGGTGGCTGGTAGCTGCACTCTGCATTACTCGATCGTAATCTAGAGAATAAATTGCATGCTGTTGTCAAAATCGGAGTACTGGCCGAAAACGTGATCATGTTGCTACACAATAGTCACGGAAATATGATCAGATTTGCTTCTATCAGTCACTTACAAACACAAATAAAGCCCATTTCACTTACGAAATGCAGTGATCAATCATCAAGCTGTATAATATGAGTGAGCAACTATCGATTCCCTTTGTTTGCGAGCAAACAGTACGCATCTACTTCATCTACACATTACCAGTAGGTACTGACCTCTGAATTTGACGGTACAGGAGCCGACGCCACCGGAGGCCGTGGTAATGATGACGTCACAGTGACCGCGGGAGGTACCCGAGAGCAGGACGATCTTGTTGGGGCTGTGCCACTCAGCAGTCAGGGTGCTGTCCCATTCACCAATCATTACACCTGGTAATGGCAGATTGTAGCATCAGGTTGTAAGTATGGATGTCTTAGGTAGGTACATACCTACGTTATGACATAAGTGATGACCCGCTCATTATGTAGAGTCACATTTATAGATATTAGAATTGCAGCCACATAACTTAGAACAATTAACATTACCTATCTTGCAATCTTTTCATGGCAATAAATCAGAATTGCAAGCAAAATATTCATCAATAAAGTATTATGCTTAAAAATGAGCAGCACTTACCCACGACATCCTGTTGGCTCGTGCCCAGGTTCTCTCCTCGCACTGTGACTTTGGTTCCAGGGGGTCCTTCCTTCGGAGAGATCCCTGTCACCACTGGTGGTGGTGCCATCTTCAGCTGAAATGGATTTATTTTGGGTTTTTAGACAGTTCTATAGCATGCTTGAACTGATGCAGATTGTGCAGAGCTGTTACGCAGAGATTGTATGATGCTGGATGAACTTTGAACTTTGAAGCATGAAGCATGAACCACCACAATTGACAGGTCTCCTGTGCGAAACCTTGGAAGTGTTGTGGTACCTAACTGCAATTTTGTCACTTTGTGTACAACATATATTTGGTAGCATGTATAGGATTACTGGTATTGGCCCAGACTGGAAAATAATTCATGTTACCGTTGACAGGCCCAGTGTAATGGACAGCTTCCACCAAAATGTTAGCTCAGCATCTGGCGCAACTCACTACTCAGTGCACCAGAACTTTTGCACCTCCTGCCCACCAAAACTTTGGCGCACACAGGAATGAAGAAATTTTGGCCCGAAAAGACCTAACCTTACCTAAAGACACTCACCACACTCCACATTCACATGCTTTGATTGCCTTCCTACCCACCTACACTAAAGCCAGACTGGGAAACATCCGCACACTACGCCGGACGCCCGTGAGACCCTCATGCGGCGAAATACGGCGTAAGCGATTTTGCGCTGAAATTTCTCCATAATTTGTGTCGAAAGTTGGGTGCCTATTTGTGCCAAAATTAAGCTACTTTTACATAAAGCACACGTGCACATCCACCGGCCAAGGCTATATCAACCAGTCCAGACAGAGCGCTCCGAGGCCTTCGACGCTCTCCCACGTTTGAGCGTCCGAATTGGTTGATCTTTCCATGGAAACCCAATACCACAAAACGCGTAGCGCACTGCAGCGTCGTGCCGTGAAGCAAGGCCGGTGCTGAAAGTTCTGGAGCTTCAAAAATCGGCGGAGTGGTGTGTTCGAGGCTGGCGAGCGCCAGCAAGGGCCGGGCAGCGGAGCAGCACGTGCTGCGGCACATCAGCCTCTTCTCAGCACACGGCGCAAAGCGCCCCAGGGCACCGTTTATCCAGGCACTGCTGGCTGCTCCTGGCACGCCGCGGAGGGAAGACGGCCGATTCGGTGCAGGTCCTGAAGCGAGCGGCTCCAGTGGCCCGCGTTCATCTGGTGCACCGAAACGGCGTCCTCTCGGTCCTCACCGCGTTAGGGAGCGGCAGCGTGCTCCCGAAGAGAGGCTTGAATAGTGACTCGAACCAGTTGTCGCGCTATTGACGCGAGGCCGCATAATGAGCCGCCCGGGTCAGCGAGCGGAGTTCCGAAGGCAGGGTGGCCGCTTGTTTCAGCGTTTCGCCAAGTTGTCCATGCTCTCATTCCCCTCTACCCCGCAGTGGGTAAGAACCCATTGCAGGATTACTTTGCAACGCTCGAGTCTCGACATTGCTCAACAAAGTCTTCCATACCTATTTCCGTGCTGAGGGTGAGGGCCTCACCTGGGTGGCTGCTCCTCCACTCAGTAGACTCAAGCCGGCTCATGAGTCTGAGCATGCAATGACAGGGGCGGGGCGGGGGACAGCTCGTCCCGGACTCTCCCCAGAGCCTCCCGCTGTCCCGCAGGGCAAATCTGCTGCTTGATTGGCCAGTGTGTTAAAAAAATTCAGTGACTGCCATTCGCCAAAAAATTATGCAGCCGCCATGCACAGAAAAATTCAGAGGCAACCATGCACAGAATTTGGTGCATGCGATGTTACTCCGGATGTGCACTGACATTTTCGGCGCAATCTCACCACTAAGCTGGGCATATTCGGCATAACGCGCATGTTTTCCAGTCTGGACCTAAGCACATCAACATAACAAAAAATGATAAATTTGACATAAAAAACCAGAGCCGATAAGTAGGTACCTAACACTGACAGCCCTTGAATGATTGGCACTAGGGCGAGGACTGGGCTGTTTTTTCTTGGGCTCGTATTTGCCTAACTCAAACTGGGAAGCGCCAGGCACCTGGGCACTGAATAAGCCAAATATTCCCACATAACAATTATTCGACAGGTCACGACAAATCATGCAAGAACCATTAAGCTCTAAAACAACAGATAAAAATGAAATAAAATTGAAATAGAGCTCACCTATCACTATCGACGACCGCGCTTCCTAAATAATAGGCAATAGCAAATAATAGCCACTTTAACTTTTGATCTACGCCCACTGTTTCAGTTTTGTAAAATACACATCAGTGAAAATCCAATGGAAATACCCGTTCTAAATGTCAGTCGTGTAAATTTCAGTAAGCGAACGCGCCAGTTGATTCGTTCAATTGAATCTCAAAGAGCATTTAGGAAAAGCCATTGGACAAAAGCTGCTCGCAGCAGTCAATAGAGAACAAATTGATGGTTCCAGACATATTTGACGCAGTGAAGACAAGAGAAATTTGATAAATTTGTTAGGGCCACTAAAAAAAAAAAAGACATTTTGTAATTTGTGCAGTTGTCATCATTCGCGAAGGCACGTGTGTGATTTTTTTTGCTTTTATGTTGGTTGAATAGTATTCTATGACCGTGGGTTGAAGATTGAAATAATGTGATTGGTATGTGAGCCAAATGTTGCTCGAAAATTAGGAGAAAATTCTCTTGTTGGCGTGCACTGCACTAGGGGTAAGCTCATCGTATTATAAACCAGTCCAAGCTTATTGTTATCAATGGCCAATGCGTCTAACCCGCAGCATAAGCCCGCTCGTGCTACGTCTATTGCACCAATACCGATCAAGATATACAGGGTGTTTCACAATAAATGTTACTTTTGAATAGCTTAAATGAAGATCTTACTTGTTCGTAAGTGCGTAAATTCTATATGCATTTTGCTGCAAATTTGTAGTGGTTTTTAGTCCTTACATTTTTTTTTTACAAACCGTCAACGGTTCCATCAGTATGGACGTGCAATGCCAACACCGTCAAAACGGGTCAATTCGCCGTGTACAGATGATGAGGCGGTATGGGTGGTCATGCATTACGGCGCTTTGCGGAGTCCGACCGCAGTGCGACGGAGTTTCGGTAGCCATTTAAAAGGAGGAAGGATATTCCGCCAAAAATGTCTTTCAAACGGGTAGTAGAAAGGTACCAGAAGACTGGAAACACAAGACCAGCCCCGACTCCTGGCCGGACGGCGATCCCAGAGAATCTGGTTGAAAAAGTCATACGGAAGGGTGGCATAGTGGAGAACCCGTGAAGGGGGCTGAACTGAAAGTTATATGTTCATCAGTCCTACTGTTCTGCTGTCTCATGAGGTAATACTCATGAGCCATATTGTAATACATGTCACTGAAACATCGTCGTTTGAAAAGCAACTTTCATTGTGAAGGACCCTGAAGCTTAACAGCGAATTGACCTGTTTTGATGGTGTGGACATTGCACGTACATAAAGAATGCAGTTGATGATTCGTCATAGTTTTTGTAAGGATAAAAATCCCGAAAGAATTTGCAACAAAATGAATATGGAATTTATGGGTATACGAATAGCTGAGGTCATTTTAAAAGCTTATCAAAAGTAACGTTTATTGTGAAACACCCTGTAGATACTGATACAGGATGAAAGTGCCAGGCCAAACGCTAGGTTAGGCCGGTCTTTCCGACCCAGACATCTAACCTGAACCCTTGAGCAGGGCACAAGACCAAGACTCCTTGCTTGGCACTGGAATGGATCTCATTAGTGTCATCAAGCGACAAGCATCTCAGTTCTCAGCCAACAATATTTGAATCTATGGCAGACCATGCTGAGTCTAATTGATCAGATGCTTAAATATCAAAGTTGTTGCTTCTCTGCACGTGCAATAGTACCTGCTAACTACTTGTGTATATTGAGATGTAGGTATTATGAAAACCTGTGCCATGCTCCTACATATGATTTGTTTAGGTGTGATGCAGAAAGTGACCTGTCAAATATATGCCAACATGTTGTATTCTTTCTTTCAGACTACATCCAAGTTCAGAAGCAGCTCATTGCTCATGCTCCCAATGTCTAAAAATTAAGGACTAAGGACAAAAAACTAAACTTTGATGGCATCCTGCTGGTAAAGTTTACATCATTCATTCACTGCCAATATCTGAATCACACAGCAACGACAATGAGCCTCTTATGGCTGCGTTGGCGGCTGGGGCGTGCCGCTCTGAGACGGGCGTTCTCCTGCTGTGCACGCCGCCCTGCCGCCTGGTCGGAGCTCAGCTCCGGTTCGGTGGAGGTGTCCCTGGGCGGGCGGCCGGTGCGGCTGGCCGTGGGCGAGCTGGCGCGGTTCGCGGACGGCAGCGCCACTGCCCAGGACGGCGACACGGCAGTGCTGGTGACGGCGGTCAGCCGGCCGCGGCCCGGCCCGGCGCCCGGCTTCCTGCCACTCACCGTCGACTACCGGCAGAAGGCGGCCGCCGCTGGCCGGATCCCCACCAACTTCCTGCGCCGGGAGCTCGGGCCCAGCGAGCAGGAGATCCTCACCAGTCGGCTGATCGACCGCTCGCTGCGCGCTCAGTTCCCGGCCGGCTACGCGGCTGACACCCAGATCACGTGCAACCTGCTGGCTGTGGACGGTGAGCGGCTGCCGGACGTACTGTGTGTGAACGCCGCCTCTGCCGCGCTGGCGTGCTCCGATATCCCCTGGGGCGGTCCGGTGGGAGCCGTCAGAGTGGGCTGGGCGGACGGCGAAGCGTTGCTGAACCCAGGCCGGCGGGAACTAGCCAGCAGTCAGCTCAACCTGGTGGTCACGGCCGGCCCGAGGAACACGGTCGTCATGCTGGAGGCCTCGGCGGACAACATTCTACAGACTGACTTCATGCACGCCATCAAGCTCGGCGTCAAAGAAGCTCAGAATGTAGTGCGTGGTGTGCAAGAGCTGGCGCAGAAGCACGGTCGACCGAAGCGCGAGTTCACCATACCGACCGTGGATGACGAACTGGAGGACTCTGTTCGCATGCTGTGTGAGACGCGTTTGGAGGCGATTCTCACTGATCCCCGGCACGATAAGATCTCCCGTGACGAGGCTGTATCGGCTGTGCGCACTGACGTTCTGGAGAAGCTGCGAGCGGACTCTGTGTCTTCCGGTGGTGGTGGCAGCGAGCGCCATGCGGCCGCTACAGACGCGTTCAACCGCCAGTTCCGCGCGCTGTTCCGCCGTCTGGCACTGGAGCGGAGCACCCGCTGTGACGGCCGCGCGCCTGACGAACTGCGCGACATCTCGTGCCGGGTCGGTCTGCACGCACCTCTTCACGGGTCGGCGCTGTTTCAGCGGGGTCAGACCCAGGTGATGAGTACGCTTACCCTCGACTCGGCCGAGGCAGCGCTGAAATCCGACCTCATGTCGGTCATCACGCAAGGCATCAAGCCGAAGAACTTCATGCTGCACTACGAGTTTCCGCCGTACGCCACGAATGAGACGGGTCGGCCGGGCGGTCTGGGTCGGCGGGAGCTTGGCCACGGGGCGCTGGCGGAGCGTGCGCTGCGTGCCGTCGTACCGGAACCGTTCCCGTTTGCGCTACGTCTAACGGCAGAGGTGCTGGAGTCCAACGGCAGCTCGTCGATGGCCTCTGTGTGCGCGGGCAGCCTCGCTCTGATGGACGCCGGAGTGCCAACCACATCAGCCGTGGCCGGAGTGGCCATTGGTATGGTGAGCCGACCCGACCCCGAGTCAGCCGATAGGCCGGGCGAGTACCGCCTCCTCACAGACATACTCGGAATCGAGGACTACTGCGGCGACATGGACTTCAAGCTGGCCTGTACCCACTCGGGCGTGACGGCGCTGCAGGCTGACTTCAAGCTTCCCGGCATGCCGCTGCCTATCATCATGGAGGCAATTTTGGCCGGCCGAGAGGCCACCAAGAAGATCCTCGCCATCATGGGCCGCACGCTGGCTCAGCCGCGGGTGAAGGGTAAATCCAACTGGCCGGTGACGGAACAGCTGACGGTGCCTCCTCACAAGCGTTCGCGGCTTGTGGGTCCCGGCGGCGTCCACCTCAAGCGACTGCTAGCCGAGACCGGTGTACAGGTGACTCCATTCGACGACAGCACGTACACTGTGTTCGCGCCGAGCCCGGCTGCGCTGGAGGAGGGTCGCAAAGAGCTGGAGCGGCTGCTAGAGGACACAGCTGAGCCCGAGTTTGAGTTCGGCGCGGTGTACACAGGCGGTGGTGGTCGAACTCCGCGAGTCGGGCGCCGTGGTGCAGCTCCACCCCCGCTCGGCTCCCGTGCTCGTGCACAACAGTCAGCTGGACGCCAGGCCGGTGCGGCACCCGAGCGCACTGGGTATCAATGTGGGGGATGAACTGCAGGTGAAATATTTCGGCAGGGATCCCGTCAGCGGCCACGTGAGGCTCTCCAGAAAGGTGCTGATGGCGCCTGCTAGCGGCAGGGTGCGGAACTTGCAGCCGAAAGACGTGGAAAAGGCGGCGTGACGGGTGAGTGTAGCCATTGCAAAGTTTGTGTTTTTAGGAATATTCGAATTAAAAGTGCTCCGATGCTTAATTGCCTGAAGTGTTACGCATAGAAGGATTGGAGGACCTAACTGCCACCAGTGCTGGATTCCCTGGCAGCAAGTGATCTGGGAGCTGTTAATTGAATGTTGTTGTGTTTCAAAGGCAAGGCTTATGATTGTGTCATTAAAATGTGCTACGCTGAGCTTGTGAATGACTCGAAATGGCATTACTGTTGTTGATGCGATTTGGTAAATATCGATGGCTAGTGCTGCCAAGCGTTTGTTTATTGGGTGAATACTGAAACGGAGAAAACAGTATTTGCATTTATTGCGATATTATTATATACCCTAATTTGTATCCCGATAAGCACTTTGTAATTTCATTTAGGAATTAGTTTCATCATGTAAAAAAGCTTTTCCATTTTTTACCATGATTATAGATTCTCTGCAAGAAAACTTCGAATAGAATAATGGGGAAATTCGAAATCGTGAACTGCGGGCTGCAAGCAGCAAGTAAAATTCATATGTTTATTTAATGGACCCTGGTTGAATTAGAACTCCACAAACGGCCATGTTCATTGTTCACCTCTCCGAAGAGGGGCGCATCGCAGCTGTTGGGCTTGAGAGCGGTGCTGCAAACGCCCTAGGTGGCGGCACGTAACAACAGAAGATGTCGCTACACGTCGCTGTTCATCGTTCCCGAGAAGACACCGATTGGCGATTTTCTGGGGTGGTATCGACAACCATTGGTGCAGTGAAAGTGAAACCCATCCATTTGTTTGATACGTCTCGTTTTTTCAATTTCGAATTATTTCAAGTGCTGCACCGTGTTATCGACATATTATATTTCTTGTCATGCCCAGGCTATCCTGCATCAGTCGGGCTCCGTCCGCAATCCGGGTCTCGGTTTGTTGTTTTTCTGCCAAATCGCTTGTATCAAATTTCCCGACAATGCGCTGATGCTTACAATTCAGGGCTGCGGCCCTGAATTCTCTCGGGTCTTACATTATCAATGAGACGATACAGTCTTATCGCATTCGATATAGTGCAGGGAAGTATTTTAATGTCTATCCTCAAACCAATGATGATAGCTCACTTACTATTACATTCAATCACTAGTTCAATTCACAGCCGAGACAGTCAAAGAAGTAACATTTAAACAGAACACTGGTGAAAGCTCAATCAGAAATGCCAACGTGCCTACGTCCAAAACAATGGCATTGCCAGAGTTTTAGACTAGATGGAGAGGGGAATAGCTGATAGCACTTGTGTTAAATAAATTCACCGTCTATAATCCCTCGTCATTCATGCACCTGCGTCTCTGCGTCGTGGTCGGTCGCTGCCGTCCATACCGTCTGTAACCCCGCCGTCCGTCTCCCGTAGCTCCACGACGGGGCGATTGAGCCAGAAGCCAGCTCTGTCTCTCGGGGTAGCAGTCTGCCCCAGCCCGCTTCCCCGCGACGCCACGTAAACAGCCGAGACAATCATTTCACTTGGTGGCTCGTGAAATCGAGGAAAGCGAAACTGTATGCATGACATGCCATCGCTGCCACAGCACTAATAGCAGACGACCGAAGTGAAAACAACCTCAGCTGTCTATTCTGTAGTGGCTGAGGGCTGGGTGGGATTC